GGTGTTTCAATGTGACTGTCCCTGATCTCGTCTCCCTGAGGTGCTATCAATGTTTGAAATCACAACCAAAAACAAGGTGGGCTCCCGTCTCAGCTTTTCTTTCCTTCTATTTTGGTGCTGTCTTTGTAGACCTCTGTTTACCACGCTGTGTCAGCTCTGAGCAGTGTTGTGGGTTTGGTTCGTTGTTGTTCCCCTTGGTGGCCAAAGCTAGGCACGTGGAGAAGGCAGCTAGCCCCTTGCAAGGACAGCAGTGGCCGGCCTGCCTGGGTGGGCACTGTGGGTTTGTGTATCTTCTCAGGCCAGATTAGAAAGGGGAGAGGGTGGCTTTTAGGAAGGAGAGGCAGGGCCCGCCTCATCTAGTATGGCAGGTGTTCTCCTGTGGCCCAGGGTGCTGACCCCAGAGGGGACAGGATGTGGTCCAGGAAGAGCGCCTTCACCTGGCCCCAGCAAGGATGGGGTGGCTAAGCCTTTTGGTTCTTGCCGCTCACTGGTCGCTCCTGGTGCTCAGACTAGAAGGCAGGTGCTTTCTTTGTCCCTTAATGCCACCAAGTCGCTTTTAGTTGGTGCTAAACTTCTTGTGTCCACATAAGCTGATGTAAATTTTAAGAACTTGACAGGAAGCTCCATTTTTACATCATCCACTGTCACAATTTTTTTTTTAAATACCTCAAAAACAGGACATTGTGACAACTTAGGTTCCATGAGGGTATGATACTCACAGGTTGTCCATTGGGTGTCTTCCTTGACCTTGACACATCTGGGGTCATTCTCTCTGCTCACTCTTTAAGCAGTAAAGTGGCAGGGAGCCCAAGGGAAGGAGTGTGGTTGGGTTTTGTTTTTTTTTTTTTTTCCATTCTCTAACAGTTTTGCTTTTGAATAAAATGTGAATCTCCTCTGCCCATCTCATCGAGCTTTCTGTCATGGTTGCCGTCATTTGAAAACTTCACAACTCCTAGCGTTACCTGCTATCCTGCCAGGCCAACTTCACCACATACCCTGGACCAAAATAACACGTTGGAGGTGCACACCCGAACCCAGGCTCACAGCCCCCCCCCCCCGCCCCTCTCGCACAGTTGCTTCCGGGAGCACCGGTCTCCCGGGTAGCGCTGCCCGAGAGGGCAAAGCAATAGGCCTCTGGCCTGAGCAGAGACTCAGCACGAGCCAAGTTCTGGGCTGTGGCCTACGGGTCAGTGAGCTTTCCAGCCTGCTCTCGTTTGCTTCTGTTATCAGGGATGCTTTCGTAGGGTGTTGTTCATGCTGTCCTCGCTCTGACTACCCGTCGTTCAGGGGGAACCTCATTCTTCATATGGAGACTCCACATACTAATTGGCTCATCTGGACAAACCCCAGTTTTCTTGATTCCAGTACAGATTTGTTTTTCTTTTGAAGGGGGAAGACAGACAGGAGTGGTGTCATTTACTTTTCTTGTGTTTAAAGAAGCAAGGACCGGCTGTCTCACAGCACAGTAATGCTCTAGACTTGATCAAGAACCCTTGCAGCTTTTGGATGTGTTTTATTTCTTATCTCTTTGAATTCCTGTTTGGTTACCTGGCTTCCAATGGAGGTGAACTTAACAACCATACTTGAATATTCCGTCTTGACTTTGTAAACTGTGGCTACTTGAAATGAAGTTTATCTGGGGTTGATGGATGAATGGTAGGTTTTTGCAATGTCTCAAGGCAATAGGATGTGTATTATTAAACTGTAGATATCTTAGTACAGTAAATTTATGCTGATAATTTTATTTTGTATAATTTTTACCTTTTTGTTAATATTTTCCTTCCAGTTATTGGTTTGTCTCCTGAGCTACGGCCTTCCTTCCCCTTTCCTTCTCCCCCAGTGTTTCAGTAAATTTAATTTAGGGTGCCTAGAAATTGCAAGTATGTATCCTTTTTTGATTTGTATTTTATTATAATTTACACAAACAACTGGGTTTGTGAACTGTATTACTCCTGGCATCTTTAAAATATTGTGGGTGTTTTAATAAATTTTATATTTATTTTTTGCACTCAAATTCTGTGTAAGCTCTTTTTCCTGCCTCTCACCTTGAACCAGAATTAAATTGTGACATACGGTACCCTGCAGTTTTGCCCTTCTGGAATAGATTATAGACACCCAAAGGAAGCCTGCCTCAGGGAGCAGTGAGGGACGTGTCATCTGAGTACATGAGGCCACAGACCACTCCGGAGTATCCTCCATCAGCCCCAGGCTCTCTCCCTGTCCACACTGCCACCTTACAACTGCTAAGGAACGCTGCATTCTGATGGCTCTGAGTGAGCCGCAAAGCTGGACTCCAGGTTCTTCTGTTCCTGGGGCACGGGGGGCGGGGGGGGGGGGTCTCTAGGTTGTTCTGGTAGGCTGGGCCTGGGGGGAAATTGTGAGCTGAGACATAGAAAAGGACAGGAAGCTGCCCTCTTCTCCCATTTCCTCTGCCTGAAATGTCCCACCAAGGGGATCTAACAGGAAATGAGGCACTCAGACTAGAGGCCAGCTTGGTGGTGGTTTGAATTTTTGCAGAGGAGCCTTCTAGAAATACATTGACACACTATCCAAGGTCCTGTTTATGTCTCTGTGTCGTTGGTTTTTGTTTGCTGCTGGTGGCCTTCCTGATGTGGTGAGAAAAACTCACAGCTCTAAGGACTGGGAAAGTATCCCAGCTCTGAAGGGGAACAGTGCCCCAAGGGTATCCTGAGGCACAAGAGCCCAGGAACCTCGAAGCTCTGAGAGCCCTCCTCAGCAGGGACATAGCAGCTCCTAGTGGAGGGTTTCCCCAACCCCTGATGAACTGAGATGCCTAGGAGCCTGAGCGCCCCTCCTCCAGCCAATGCAGCTAGCTCCCAGGGGTGGGTTGCCCCTGAGAGCTTGGGAGCTTAAACTCCTACTTTTTCTTTTCTTCTTTTGACAAGAGTCACAATAGGCACTAAACCTCTTAACGACATTTATTGGAGGGACCAATCCAGGAGAGGAGGGATGAATCCAGGAGCGGCTGCCTCTGCTGGGAGACTGGGCAGACACAGCGTCTACGTAGGATTTCTTAGGAGGCGGAGCTTTCAAGGGCAGGGATTGCCAGAGTGTGGATTGGTGGGATTCCAATCCTGAGCGCAGGGTTCTCCTGCTCAAGGATTGGTGGGGGGTTGTCCAGATTTTACCACAAAATAGCAGAACCTGGAATGAGTCCTACTGAGGGGCTGGAGATGACAGTCCCAGAGGCCTAGAGGGAGGAGCCGGCCGCTGCAGCTTCCTCAGGCAGGGCTGACTGCTGCTCTGCCTTGAGGGGTTACAAAGTCTACAAAGTGTCCCAAATGTACAAAGAGCCACTCTGAAGGCGGTAGACTGCAGCAGGAAAGTGTGGCGGTCGTGGACAGCTCCTAGGACAGCGACAGCAGGCTTTCTGAGGCAGGACTGTTGTCGATTCCCACAGCAGCAGGCTGAGGCAGGAAGAGTCGTTCAGGACAGCTCCAGAGGAGCTCACGGGAGGGGCCACTCTGTCTCCTGTCTCAGCCCCGGGGCAGGAAGGCGGGGCGGGAGGACTGGCGTGGAGGAGGAGCTCCGGCCTGAGCTTCCGTCCTCATGCATGAGCAGCCGGCGGCACTGAGCTGCAGTGTCCGAACACTGAAGGCGCCGCAGGCGCCCCCACCACGCCCTTGGTTAGCCACCAGCCTCGCGTGGCTGCGGGGCCAAGGCTGCGCAAAACTGTTTCGCCCTGGCCTCACGGTGCTCCTCCACCGCTGCACGGCTCCACAGCAGCTTGCCAGGCTGAAGCTGTGAGCGCCACAAAACCAAAGCTGACCTCTCCACTCCTCCATCTTCCTCCCAATCACGTCCTCACACCAAATCCGGGCTCTGCCCTCTCAGTGTCCTCCAGCTGCTTGCTCCGTGTGGACTGACTCACAGGTGACATGAGCGTGTCATGACAGACACCTTGCCCCCATGGCCAGGGAGGAGAGGACCACAGCAGGGCCCTCCAAAGCTCGGCCCCAGGCAGGTTTTCACACTTTGGTCTAAACTTGGAAAGATTAAACGATTGCCACACAGACATAAGAACTCGAGTGTCGATGCTCCGATGCTCCGGGCACCCAGGCTGGGGAGACTGCTGAGCTGGGAACGTGCTTGCCACCGAGTTCAGTCCCCAGGACTTAGTGGAAGGAGAGAACCACATGTTCTTTGCCCTCCACATGTGCACTACGGCACCAGCACACACATGCTCACATCCATGCGCGCGCGCACACACACACACACACACACACTTATTTTTAAAAAGAAAGCTGTCACCAGGTGTGGTGGCACATGCCTCGATCCGGTCACTCCAGAAGCAGGGGCCAGCCTGGTCTTCACAGTCAGTTCCTAGACTAGCCAGAGCTCTGCAGAGAGACGCTGTCTCAATAGATGAAAGCTGTTGAGCAGGGTGTGGAGGCTGGGCCACACTGCAGAGAGCCTCCAAGCTCGCAGCAGCCACTGACTAGGCTATGAAGCAGTCAGCCCTCAGAGCAAAGGTACGGAGACGGCCACTGGATGTGGGCACACGCACACTGGTGAGCCGGCTTCTGGAACAAGGCAGGCCCTGGGCTGGAGGCCCATCACCTGCACCCTCTGCCCGACAGCATGGAAGCAGAGACAGAGGCGACACTGACTCAGCAACCACAACGTCCACCAGCCTCCACAGCCCTGGTTTCCAGAACGGAGGCTGGCGCTTCTCGGAGTCCCTCCCCCCGCCCCCCAGAGCCCAGGGTGAGTATGCAAGGCTGGGGAAGCACAGGTCCTGGCAAGCTCGCCTCCCACCAGATGCGGAAGATGGGGCCTTCAAACCCAGGTCCAGGCAAAGCAAAAACAGCCAGAACTCTGGCCTGCGCTCTGCCCGGCACTGGGATGAACCCAGGACCACTGCGAACAAAGGCCGCTGCTCCGGGGAGGCGGGGCCTGGAGCACGCACGTGCGTGCCTGTTGTGAGCAGTAGCTATCTGTGGGCTTTAATTAACTCTAAATAGATAACATAGCTCCTGTAACTATAACATAGAACTGTTTATGAACAAAAATAGAGTTTTGGGGGGCAGGGATTTTCTGGAAGGCGGCTGTGAGTGAGGCGCAACAGCTTCAAGCACCAGCCGTCGCGTGGCCAGGGCGCCGTCAGCGCTTGGGGACGGACGTAAATATCCGAAGGCCGTGCATCCCCTTGATCTCTTCTTTCAGTGCCTGAGAAAGAGAAGTCACGGTCAGCCCTGTTGTCTATACCTTGGCTATGGAGTGCTCTGCCTGGCTCTGTCTGAAGGCTACTTTGCACATGTTTGTTTAAGCAATTTTTCCTTCAAAACACTTTTGGCTGTTTGGTGTGTGTGCACGCGTGTTTGCGTCCGTGTAGGCACACCGCGTGTATGTGTGGCTGGAGACCTGAGTTTGACACTGGATCTTCCTTGAACGCTCTCTAAATATCAAGGCAGAGTGTCACCTAGCCTCCAGCTTCCTGTTTGTGCGGGTCAGTCAGCCAGCAGACCCCAGGGGCTCCCTGCTTCGGCCTTCCAGGCGCCGGGCTCTCACGCCCACCCAGTACCGACAGAGACCCTGTGTGCAGCACACAGATCTGTAGCACCAGGGCCTAGGTTTATGCGGGCTCTGGGAATCCGAACTCAGGTCCTCACACTCGCTCGGTACCCTCTCACCTCCTCCCAGGTCCCCTATGCTCTTCTGTCTGCTTGCAGCAGGGTCTCACCACGTAGCCCTGGCTGGCTTGGAAGCTGCTCTATAGAGCAGGGTCCTCTAACTCGTACAGCCCCACCCTCCTCGGCCTCCCAAGTGTTGGGTTTAGAGGTGTACACCAGGGCACCCGAGTCCCCTTGCAAAGGTTTTCACTCAATAACACCTAAGTTGTTGAGGCCCAGGCACCAGGGTAAGCTGGGTGTTACCTTGAGCTCAGGAGTTCAAGTCCAGCCCAGCAAGGCAAGAAGACCCTGAACCAAAACTTAGTCAAAACTGCAGCTGAGGCTGAAGAGATGGCTCAGCAGTTAAGGGTGCTTGCCGCTATTGCAGAGGTCCAGGCCCGGAAGCTCCCGTCCGGGGACCTAACGCCTCCTTCTTGCCTCTGGCCACACCAGGCACACACGAGATGTGCATGCGATAGCCAAATAAATGCACACGCAGGCAAAGCACTCACACACATGAAGTAAAAATGAAGAGATCTTAAAAGCCAGAGAGTGACTGAGAAGGACCCTGATGTTGCCCTCTGGCCTACACAACACACACCCATTTGGGAGCCCATGAGCCACCCCACACCAACTGTATGTCCAAACGGAAGCCTTAACTCTGCAGACAAATAGAAATGAGCCTGGAAAAGGCCTCCTACCAGAGTCAGGCTCCTTCCCTCGGCTTTGTAGGCCCAGGGCGCCCCCTAGTGGCCACTTCCCACTACCCCGGGCCACTCCCAGGGCAGCTAGGTGGGAGCCTAGCCATACCTTCAGGTCACGGTCCTCTATCCGGGGAGCTTCGAGGCTTTGCAGGTCACTGTACGCACTCTCTCTTCCCAACACCTTCCCCAGAGCTCTGTTAAACCTCCCGAGGCTGCTCAACCCACACAGTGTCACCTGTCACCTACTACAGCCACAGAGGAACCACTGGCAGCTGAGGAAACGGAGGTTCTGGTTGGGGGACGGACGGGCTTGGCTAACGTACCCCAGTGTGGGAGTGGAAGCAGGAGGATCAGTCATGGGGCCGGAGATAATGCATTGTGTTTAAACTGCAGGACTTAACAACAAATAAAAATAAAGTTCATGGCTATCCTCAGTTACATAATGAGTTCAAAGCCAGCCTGGGCTATGAGACACTGTCTCAAAAAACAAAGTACCGTGGGCAACAAGAGGCAGCTTGAAAGCCAGCTGTAGTGGTGTAGGTCTTAAATCCTACCACTGGGAGGCAAGAGGAAGCAGAGATCTCTGGGTGTTCAGGCAGCCTGGATTACATAGTTCCAGGACAGCCAGGGCTACAGTGACACTGTCGTGAAAAAAAAAAAAAAAATTACAAAAAAAGAAAACCCAGCTTGGATAAGCAGTTTGAACATGCTTGTTCACACAGTGTTATACCAGATAGAGGGACACAGAGAAAAAGGTGAAGGACAATGATGACATAACAGCTGAAAACAAACAAACCAACAGAAACCAACTCCGGGCCAGCAACAATGGCTTGCTGGGTAAGAGCAACGATTTGAGCCCACGCAAAAAGGCCACGTGTGGCTCACAGCTGGAATTCTGGCATCCCTACAGTGATTTAAGGGAGGGGACAGGAGACCTGGAAGCTAGCCTGGAGCCCACACAGGGCTGGAACAGCATGTGGAGAGGCCAGCTGATGGCTGCCCCTCACAGCCTGCCTGCGGGCTGTGGGTTCCACAGCCCGGGTACAGGCCTAGGAGAGCCCTGACAGGAGTCAGGGACACATGTGTCCAGGTCATAAGTCAGGGTCGGCAGCAGCTGGAGGGTGGGTGAGATGGCCCAGCGGGTAAAGGCGCTCGGTGAGCCTGGTGAGCGGAGTTCGATGCCCAGCGCCTGCGTGGTGGAGAGCAAGTTCTGCCCTCAGCGCATACGCGTCGCAGCATGTGTGCCTACCCAAACAATAAAGACTGTGAAAGTTTAAAACGGGGAGTCAGAAGGCACAGTGGCTTTGGAGCCCAGCCAGGGGGTGCGCAGCAGCTTCGGAGTTGGGTACAGAAAGAACCTGGGCCAGGGGACTGTTGTAGATGAAGAAAGAGAGTGGCCACCTTGGAGGGCGGTCACAGAAGGGGGGAGAACCCTCCGACGGCATTAAAGGCTGTGTGAACTCAGGGTAGAGGGTTTCCAGCCAGAGCGGTACTTTTGAAAAACTAAACCAGCTGATAGCACACAAGACCTCTAAGGGTGACGCCAAGAGCAGCTGTCCACAGGGAAAGATGTCAGAGACAAAAGCCCAGACTCAGAGCTGGCACACACACTCACACACATGGAAATCTAAAAACATGTCATTTAGCACTGACCACGCTTGCAAATACTATTGAGTGTGTGACGGCAGAAAACACGGAGTGGGCCAGGCAGTGAGCACATCGGTAACTGCCCAGGAGGTGGCGACTAGGGACCAGGAGTCCAAACAAGTCAGTGACAGATGGGCTCCCTGTCCTAAATATCCCTAGCAAAGAGTGAGGCCAGCACTCGCCTAGCATGCATGAAGCCCTGGGTTCCAGCCTCAGGACCTCATAAACTGGGTATAGAAACCCAGCATTTTGCAGGTAGAGGCAGAAGGGTCAGAAGTTCAAAGGCATCCTCAGCTATATAGTAAGTTTGAGACCAGTCTGGTCTCATGAGACCTAGTCTTAAAAAGTCTGGGGCTGGCCTGGGCTTCATGAGACTGTCTCCTTAAAAATCACAACAACAAAGCCCAAACCAGAGTAGCAGTAAACACTGCCAGTATTACAAAAGGAGTTGAAAGAGAACCGTTAGGCGGCCTATTTTCAATTTTGAATGAACTCACATTTGTTCAATCTTAACCTAGTGAGCCTCTGATTTTGTCTCCAGAGTCTCAATCCTGTCCTCCTGAGCACATCCTAAGGGCTGCCTTGCTCTCTCCTGGGACTGACAGTGACAGCCACCACGCCCACTGCTGTGCCCCGGAGGCTGAAGGCTGGGGGGAGGAGGGCCGTCAGGCGCCGCTGACCTGATTGACCATCTGGTGCTGCTGGACGGTCCTCTTCTCTTTGAATTCTTCCGACTCGATCTTAATGTCATACATCGCTCCGCAGCCTCCTGAAACAGTCGAGGCATTTCAGTTACGACTGACGGCGAGGCAGCCTCAAAGTGCCAGACCTCGAAAGAGACATCCGGCAGCATTCGCAAACAGGTGCAGAGAAAGATCACAATCTTATCTGACCATTCACTCCTGGCAGGCAGCCTTGACCCAAATATACTCTTCTTTTTGCAAGGCCCCTCAGCTACCCACACCTGTCAAGTGTGGGCAGGAAAGAGGAGGCGGAAGGCCTGGGGGGCACAGGGAGGCAGAAATTCTCTTTCAGTAAGCCATGGGAAGGAGGTGGCGGGATACGGATTTCCACGGGACCTGTTAGAAGTACAAGCATATCCTAAGGTTTCATCCAAATGTGTGTGCTCCCTTCTGTGATGTAGTCAGCGACTGTGAACCTGATGGATCTAGTATCACTTAGGAGACAAACCTGTGGGCATGCCTGTGAGGGAGTTTCTAGGTTGGAAAACTCACCCTTAAGCTGGAGTCCTGGACTAAAGGAAGAGATAGTGAGCTGGGCGCCAGCACCCATCCCTCTGCTTCCTGACTGGATACCATGTAACCAAGCACCTCAAGCTCCTGCAGCCAAGCTTTCCCACCATGATGGCTGCCCTCAGATGCAGAAGGCCAGGGGGAAAGGACCATACACCCAGCTTCCTCTGCTTCTACTGACAAAAACACTTTTTTTTTTTTTTTAAGTCAGAGTCTCACCTCATCAGACCTCAAACTCTCCACATGGTCATGGATGACCTTGAACCACAACTCCTGAGTGCTAGGATTACAGGCCAGCAACAGCATACTCCATCAATTTTTACATGTTTCTGGGAATCAAGCCCAGGCCTGTGTGCATGCTCGGCAAGCACTCTGCCAACTGAGCTACATCCTCGGCCCAAAGAAGAGATTTCTCTGTGTTCTCCTGACGCAGGCAAATGTGCTTTCAGGGAGGCCATGGAGCCTCCCTAGCGGTGGCAATGCAGAGCTGGCTCTTATCTAGCTGCTTGCACCCATGTTCCTCTCTGGGCGTGTCCGGATAAGGCACCCATCTTCCTCCGCTTCTCCTGCAGAAGCTATGCCCCAGCATGGTGCTGAAGAGCAGCCAGCCGGCAATTCAGAGGTGCAGCAGTACCCAGACGGAGCTTGTCCGCCCTGGTCCCGGTGCTGCCGGTTCTCCTGTCTCCTTTGGCGGCTCTGGGCCTGACTCTTGGGGAAAGCAGGGTAGCTGACAAAGCCTACGGCTCAACGGCTGTAGGGTGTCAGAAGAGCTGCAGTGGGCAGGTTACAAGGTCTATCCCCATAATGGACATATCCTGAGCTCTTGGTGTCTCCACAGAGGGCCCTCATCTGAGCAGAGCTAGTCTGGTAGCCCAGAGTCCTCTCAGTGAGGCTCTGTCTCTGTGGTTTCCCCCTGAAGCTTCTAATGCCCCATCTCCTTCTGACCCAACTGTGCATCCTTATGGCAAGTCGCCTCCTCCCGGCCTCTTTCCTTCAGCCTCTCCCAGACAAAAACAGCAAAACTCCATGGAGAGAAGGGGCGGAAGCCTCACCTGAGATGTCTGTCACTTCGATGGCTGTGGCGCGAGGAAACTTTTCTTTGAGAACCTGGGTCACTCTGAGCTCGCCCTCAGTCTGGGAGGCAAGCATCCGACACACGCAGTGCAGCAGAGGGAGCTGTGATAACAAACGGGAGGCCTGTGGGACTGTGAGATGACACCGGCCTCCACCGGAGCGGCGTCGGCAAACACACCGGCTGTTGGTGAGTGCAGCTGAAGGTGCCACCCAGCCACTCCTCAGACTCACCTGAGCAGGGCCGCTCTAGACTCTTAGGGGTGTGCCCTGGTCTCTGTGGCGTGTTCGTGTGTGTGCAGCTGCCCACGTGTACATGTGCCCTGGGGTCAGAGGACAAGCTCACCCGAGACAGGGTCCCCTGGCTCAGAGCTCATCCAGCCGGCAGGCAACCTCAGGGAGCCACCTGCCTCGCCTCTCCAGCCCTGGGATTTCAAGCACATGCCCCACACCTGGCTTTTGTTTTTAAAGTTTTGTTCTTAATTATGTGTATGTGTCTTTCTAAGTAAGAGTTTGTGCAGTGAATGCAGTGCCTTCGGAGGATGAGGGAGGTATCCGATCCCAGGAGCTGGGGTTAAAGCCTAGTTTTGAGCTGATTGACCTGGATGCTGGACACTGAACTGGGATCCTCTGCAAAAGCAGTGAGCACCCGTAACCACCATCTCCCATGGGTCCTGGGGCTAAACTCAGGTCATCCGTGTGAGCACTTTGCTGGCTGAGCTGTCTTGCCGGCTCTCTCGTTAGCCGTCTTAAAGGCAGAACCGAGTCTGTCCCTCTACAACAGCATCCCAGAGCTGACCCTAAAGCAGGCCCTCTGAAGCAGCGAGTGAGCAGATGAGAGGCACAGCCGCTGTACACAGGCCAGGAAGCCTAAGAGACGGCTGAAATGCAGGCCAGACTAAAGGTCTGGCGCTCGATGGTCTGTGCTGCAGAGAGGACCAAAAGCATGAGGCTGTGACCCTGTGAGTGTGAGCACCTGCAGGGTGTGGGTGGCGCTGCCCCGAGACAGGGGCATTGCTGGGACAACCTGACAGCAGGCAGGACGTGGGGTCGCTAAGAGTTGCAGTGGCGAGCGCTGCAGACACCTCAGAGGGGCTGTCATCTTCGCACCCCCATCCTGGTCACTGACGGACAAATCCCAGAAGACCTGCCCTAGATGACAGTCCTGGGAGTAACACAACTCCTCAGCTTGGAAGGCAGATTCAAGACCAGCAGGAAAAGGGAAACAAGATGGATGAGTTAGAGCTAAAGCCGAGTCTGTAACGGGGAGAAAGACCCGGCACTGTGGTTTACAACGTTATCCCAGGAGTCAGGAGGAATGAAACAAGTTCCAGGCCGGCCAGGGCTATAATTCCAGAATCTGTCTCAAAAATCAACAGGCGGGTGGGAGGATTAGGAGAGCTGGCCCTATGCTGGGTGCCCATTCCAACCGCAGGCTAAGGAGGGTCAAGGTCAGAGGCCTGGTCAGCGTGCGATTTCAGGGCGCGGGCTCGTCCCGAGTGCCCAGCGTCGCTCTGTAAGACAGCATTTCTGGGTCACTGCCTGTTTAGAGGACTGTCGCCTAATCCACCTGAGCTCGGTACCCCAGCACAGCCGGTGCGATGCAGAGGGCAGGAGAGAATGGATGGGAGCGAGCCCCGCCTTCCCGTTCTGACAACAGCCACCCAGGTCCCCCGCAGCTCCGCCCGGGCCCCACCGGCTCACCCCGCGGCTCCCGCGGAGCAGAGGAGCAGCGGCCGCCGGACCCCATGCCGCCATGCCGGGCGAGCAGCCCGCCGCCGAGGTCACAGTGCAGCCGGAAAGAGGGCGGCTGCGCGTCCAGAGCCGCTGCCCTGGGCGAGCCCGCCCCCTGCCGCCCGGAGGCCGCGGTCGCCACCCGGGGCCCGCTGCGCCTGCACGCTGGGCGCCCCTGCCAGGCGGGCTTCCACGCCCTCCCTCCCTCCCGCCCGCCCGCCCGCCCCAGGGCGCCCTCCTCTGCAGCCGGAGCCTTGGGGTGCACGGGACAGGCCTCCTCTAGGCCGGCTCCCCAGGCAGTGCCCTGGGGAAGTGGCCTCACTCCAGAGAAGGAGTTCCTGTGAAAGTCTCGAGTAACGGGGTCTTCTCAGGTTTGTGTTCTTGAAAGCGCACTCCTGTGAGGAGCCGCGACTTTGTGAAGGGGCTACAGGACGGACGGACCTGTGGCAGGAGGGGTGGCCAGGATGTTAGATGAGGGTGGGAGATGGGAAATTGTTTTGGGTTGCCCTGAGTGCCGGGGGACACAGGCCAGCAGAGGCCGAGGCCTAGGATGGAGTCTCTGATCCCAGGACTGTTTTGTGTTCAAAGCCAGCCGGAGCTATGGTGAGTTGCCCGCCATCTTGGACTAACAGGGTGGGAGTGCGGTGGCTGACACTTTTAATCCCAGCACTGGAGAGACAACAGCAGGCGGACCTCTGTGAGTTCAAGGCTAGCCTGGTGGACATAGTGTTTGGGGCAGCCAGGGCTACACAATGAAACCATGTCTCAAAACAAAAATCAAATAAAAATAAAAAAAAAGGCAAAAAAGAGAAGACATAGGATTGTAATGGGGCGCACACCAGAAGGAATGAGTGACCAACAACAGCTGGTGTGCTGTCCGAAAGCAAAGCCCAAGTTCCGTTAAACCCTCCGGTGCTAACTGCCTGCAGCCCGCAGTCTGTGTCCTGCGGGACCTGCCCGCCCTTCCTCACTGCGCTTGTGCCAAACACTCAGGACCTCCTGTGTGGATGGACCTGGACTTGCTCTTTAAGGCGATCAACTAAAAGTAGGCTCATTTCTAGGCTCAGCATTGTGACCCATGCCTTTAATCCCAGCACTCGGGAGGCAGAGGCAGGGTCTCTGTGCGTTCAAGGCCTACCCGGCCTACACAGCAAGTTACAGGACTGTCAGGACTACACAGAGACCCTGTCTCAAAACTAAACAAAATGTTCATTCTCCAGATTACCTGATAGGCAGATTTTTCTGCTTGATTTCTTAAAATTTATGGCTAGTGTAACTAGGGTTAATTTAACTTTTAAGTTTCTTCAGTTATGCCAAGAATACAATAAAAACTGTCTAAAAGGTTTTCCAGCTGTATAGTAGCCTCTCTTTGCTATTCAAACCTCATGTTCAGATGAGCAGGGACTGGAACCTGGTCACATGATCTGAACCAGCCTATTGAGACTTCGTCCCTGGACTTGGCTGGAACTAAAAAACTACGGTTTTCCAATGTGTTGCTAGACTTGTAGAAAGCCGGGCACAAATGGCAACCAGCTTTCCAACAAAATAGTTAGAGATGCTTTGGCGGTGAAGCGGACGCAGAAGAAAGCCGTCTGAGGAGGCAGACATGTGACTCCCTATGCTACTGGAAGCTGGCATCGCTGGACACCAGTACTGAATTCAGTGCAGACATGTTTGTCACTTGAAGCTAAGTGCCCTGCGTTAAGGTCACAGCCTTTTATCTGTAGACCTCTCCATGATTTACACTGGTGCTTTTGCTTGTCAATCCTTTTCCAAAGAACAGTCATCCAATCACCCACCACTGAAACGTGCTGGCTCTCGACTGGGCACTCCTGACGTCAGTTTCCAGGAGGCTGTCCAAACCGTTTAAGAGAAAAACGTTCAGCCTCAAATCCTTCAGACTCTCCATCACCCGAAGGAAATAACCTTTCACATGACCCGACCCTTCCCTGCTCATCCAGCTTCAGGATATGGTATCAGAATTGTCCTGACAGGTTGCCAGGCATTTGGTCAAACTATGGTTTGATCTTTTTGAGACTTACCTCCAACCAAGCCACATTAGTATTACCTGTAACTTGAGGCCTCTTAAAAGGTTTAAACTGTATGTGTCTGGGTGTTTTGCCTGCATGTGTGTGCATAAAACATGCAAATGCAGTGTCCATGGCCAGAAGAGTGTCATGTCCTCTGCAACTAGATACAGAAGACTGTGGGCCCCCTGTGGGTGCTGATAACCACCCTGGGCCTCTTCAAGAAAAGCCAGTGCTCTTAACCTCAGCGCCATCTCTCCGGCTCTTTTTCCCCCTTTGGTTTTTTGAGACAGGGTTTCTCTGTATAACCTTGGCTGTCCTGGATTCACTCTGTAGACCAGGTTGGCCTTGAACTCAGAGATCCACCTGCCTCTGCCTCCCTAGTGCTGGGATTAAAGGTGTGTACCACCACTGTCCAGCCAGCCCCTTCATTTTTTAAATTGCCTTTGGGCCCAGGAAATGGCCAATTCTTTCCCTCCTGAACTTGAGGTTCTTGACCCTTCATTTACTTTGGGTTATAATCACTCCATTTTGTTTACTGTTAAGACAGTTTCCTATAGCCCAAGCTGGGCCTCGAATTCCTTATGTATATCAAGCAATGTAGCTGAAGATTTCTGACCCTCTTGCTCTGGGGTACAAGCCTGTGCCATCTCACCATGGGGACTCCTCAGTTAGGGTCTCGTGGGATGCATCTCCCGTTTTTACCTCACTGACATCACTTTTAATTTCAGTCATTTTATAGTGACTCAGCACCCCGAGAATTAGAGTTCTTAAAAATTCAATCCCACACAGCTGGGTACCACTTACTGACTTTGAACACTTGTGAAAGACTGAAAATTTCCTGGCTTGCATCTCCTGCCTCCCAGACTGCCAAAAGCACTAAACATTCGCTGCAGTGTCTTCCTAGTCTCTTGAAAGCCAAAACTGAACAGTATGACCCAGGCCAATCAAGGAACATCCAGGTTGCTTTTGATCAACATGCAGAAGAGAAAGAGGACTCTGGAAGCCTTAACACTATGGACAGGTTAAAGGCTTGTAGTTTCAAGCTACAGTGCTTAAAGCCTAATTCTGGCCTTCCTGACTCTTGTCTGGGTTGCTTCAACTCTTCTAAAGCTTCAAACAGCTTCCAAAGGCTATGCCATTAGTGATCACACATCTTGGTGATCACTTAGATTTACGGTTGTATGTAATTTTAAATATAAAATTATTGTTACAGTTATTCAATTATGCGGGGCATGTGCCACAGCACACATGTGGCGGTAAGAGAACAGCTTTCAGTGCTCCCTATCCAGCATGAGGTTGCCAGAGAAAACTCGTGATTGTCAAGCGTGGCAGCAAACACCTTGACCTACTGAACCATCTTTTTGGCCTTTGTGATCACTTTCAGGCCTACTGAAACAAAACAAAAAACAAGATAGGTGTACAGCACTTGGGAAGCCGCAGTGCAGGATTTCAAGTTTGGGGCTAATGGGCTGCAAAGCCAGACCATGCCAATAGATACATGATGCTGACTGATGGTTTGCCTTATACAAAATGAGTAGTAAGCACATTTGATCACTCTCCGAGTTTCCACCTCTGCTCAAATAGCCCAAACCACAGTAGCACTGCTCTTCAAACAGCCCTAAAATGCACCTGTGGCTTGGCTACTTGACTATATCTGGAGTTAATTAAAACCCAATCAACTGGGGACACCTGTGAGGAATTTTATTTAATTACGTCATCTGAAGAGGAAAGACCAATGTTTAATCTGGATCTTAAGAGGAGAGAAGACAAGACCCACCTTTAATCTGAACCACACCTTCTGCTGGTAGCCTAAAGGACATGAAAGAGAAAGCTTGCTCTTTCTTTGCTTGTTCTTGCTGGCAAGTCCATTCCTTCACTGGCAGTAGAACCTACTTCTTTGGGATTCCAGTGCATACTGAAGACCAACTGAGACATCCTGCCTCATGGGCTGAACAACTACGGGGTTCTTGGAAGTTCTGTTGGTAGACAGCCATTGTTGGATGAGCTGGACTGTAGCCTATCAACATTCTAGTAATCCGATATATATTCATTCTATCAGTTTTGTTCTTCTAAAGCAGTGGGTTTGAACCTTCCTAATGCTGCAACCCTTCAGTACAGTCCCTCCTGTTGTGGTAACCACCGACCATAAAATAATTTCATTGCTACTTCCTAACTCTAATTTTGCTACTGTTATGAATCGTAATGTGAATGTGTCTTCCAATCGTTTTAGGCAACCCCTGTGAAAGGGTTGTTTGAACCCCCCAAAGAGGTTGAGACCCACAGGTTGAGAATCACTGTTCTAAAGAACCCTGAATAATACACTAGGCTTGTTAGTGATTATCTTACAATAATGACAAGTGACTGGGCTGGGAAGTGTTATAAGGACATAGGAATACTTGATTTCAAGAAAAGAAAATTAGTGAACTGAGCCTCCATCGTGTTTCCCAGGAATGTACATAAGATCCAGAGACCCATGAGCACACCAGGATTGAGACTGCTCATTTCTGTCTGGGGTGGATCTGTCCTACAAGAGACTTGTTCTTTGGATAAGGTTCTGGTATTATATTTGGTTTCATTTAGGAAGTTCTCCTTTCTAAGCTTTAAGAAAGTAGACGCTGAATGGTATGCAAAGACAACCCTCCAAATTTAAACTATAATCAAATTCTACAGAACCTGCAAAGATCTCATTTCCACACTTAAACGAAAACATGCTAACACTCTTCAAAGCCATTTTTGCTTTCAATATAGTTTATTCTGATGAAGTTACAAAAGTAGATACAAAATACTTTTTTAAAAAGTACAGTTAACGACTTAGAAAAATAGATAAAGCCCAAAAGGTTTAAAAATACAACATAAATTTTTATGTGAGGAATATTTTAAGTTATTTTAGATGGTAACCAAGACTACCTTATGCAAACCATTTTTGACGCAGACCAACACAGAATGCTGTTCTATAATGAGGCCACAGCACAATGGCTATCCAGACCGGCTTCACAGAATGCTTGTTTGAGAAACCTATGTGAATTTCAATGTGG